GCTGACCCTCTTGTTGACGGGGATGGGTGCCTGCAACCAGGTGGTGGTTCTCTGTAGCGCGGGGGCGAGCCAGGCACACAGGTCCAGGAACGTCCGCTTTTGCATGTGAAAGTTCCGGAGCCATTGCTGGTCATCCCATTGCCCCAGGACCAGCCGGTCCCACCAGTGTCCAGTCTCCACAGTGGCCTCTCCACACCGGGGTGGGGATGCCACAGCGATGCCATGGCCTCCCTGGTGAGGGAGTCCAAAGCGATCTGTGCCTCCAGGTCCTGGAACAGGAGGGCAGCAGCCTGAAGCACCAGCTGCAGGCACTCCAAAATGGCTTGCTGGTCATCCCATTGCCCCAGGACCAGCCGGTCCCACCAGTGTCCAGTCTCCACAGTGGCCTCTCCACACCGGGGTGGGGATGCCACAGCGATGCCATGGCCTCCCTGGTGAGGGAGTCCAAAGCGATCTGTGCCTCCAGGTCCTGGAACAGGAGGGCAGCAGCCTGAAGCACCAGCTGCAGGCACTCCAAAATGGCCGGAAGGGGCCAAAGCAGGCACATGGCCACCCCTGGCTCCATGGCAGAAAAAACATGGGAGATGAAAAAAAAACAGGCAAAGGCACTGAGGGTACATCTACACTACCACCCTAGTTTGAACTAGGGTGATAATATAGTCAACCAGAGTTGCAAATGAAGCCCAGGATTTGAATTTCCCGGGCTTCATTTGTATATTGCCGGGCGTCGCCATTTTCAAATGTCCGTTAGTTCAGACTCCATGCCCCGCGGCTACACGCAGCATGAACTAGGTAGTTCGGACTAGGCTTTCTATTCCGAACTACCGTTACTCTTCGTTCCTCGTTCCACGAGATCCCGATTTCATGGTTGTCCATTTGGTATAAAATGCTCTGGTGGCTCTCAACTTAAGAGAGGCAATTTTATTTTCCCCCTGATTTTTGCAAAACGTCAACTGTATGAAGATTTGGTGAGTGTCTCAAGACTCAAGTAAAATGAGTTTTACTTGTAAGCTTTCCAGTATAAGCATATTCCTTGAAAGACAATAACCAATGTAATGGAAAGTGAACTCCTTCGACAGGGATAATGTGTGCATTTTTGTTACATTTATCAATATGAGATTCCTACCATGGCTCAATTTAATTAAACTGACAATCTCAGTAAGTCTCGCCTTTTTGTTATTTGTAACAGTAATTTTTAAAATTGAATTAAATTGCTTACTCATTCTAAAAAATGGATGGGCTTATAGTTCTTCAATGAGTAATGATTGCAGTTAATTAGTCACTTATACATCATTTAACTTTATAATAATTATGACACTTTTCAATTATTTCAGAACTGGATGCATTTTTGTCATGGTGGTCAAAATAACTTTGTTTCCTTTTTTATTTTTTCCTCTTTATTTTTAGGGGCGGGAGAGAAAGATTTTTCAGAAAGCCAAATAAAGCCACTGGACCCAGAATACTTTGCAAAGGAAGAAACAAATGTAAAGACTTCTGTGGCTCAGACTCATCACACCTGTATTTACTTCTCTGTGGTTCACTCTAGCAGTGCCCAATCAGATCTCAGGTCTTCAACTGTCACATGTCTCTCGTCAGAGATCCTTGTCACCCTCCCAGCTGACCAGGGCTTTTAAAGGCTGCACAGCTGCCTTCCTTACACCATGATATGCCCAGAAAACTAGTTCATTTAAAGGTCAGGGCCTGAGCTTTGCTTTGCACATTGAGGGCTATGAACAGAGTATTGCCAACAGTTTCAAGTGTCCATGCCTTTTTCTATGCAATCATGTTTATCCTTAAGAGGAAAGCATTACCTAGAATCCATAAGAAAAACAATAAATAACAAAAACAATAAATAGATTTAAACAAACACTAAAGAAAGCAGGTGTTACTCATCATTCTTATGTTGCCCCACACACCAAAGACTTTCCATCTCTTCACCAAGATTGGAGCACCCTTTGGATGGAAGATTGTCCATTTGCTGGATTAAAAAGGAGTGCTGAGTCAGTTCAACCTTGGCCTTTTAATATCAAAAGCCATTTCTTTTCCTGAATTTCTGGAAAAGTCACTCTGAACCACTATATGAAAACCTGTCCAGAGACTGGCACCTCTCTGGAGTTGTTTAGACACAGTGGTTCACTTTAATAACCCCAAAGGTATCTTGCTGGAGACATAAGGGCTTTGGCACACTCATCCCAAAAAGGGAGCACTGGAGCGGTCCTCTAAGTACATCTAGTTGCATGGGAAGCAACCAATCAGAGCCTAAGCGAGTCATATAAAAAGGAATGGCAGATCGGGGAGGAAGAGAGTTTGTAAGTATTGTTGGGCTGAGGTGCTGTGTCTACACTGCACCATTTTTCTGAAATCACTGTAGTTATTATGGAAAAAAATACTAGCATCCACACTGTAATTGTGTTATTTCAAAAGAAAGTCAAAATAATGAACAGCTTCACCTGACACTGGTAAACCTCATTCCTGACAAGGAATAAGGCCTCTTCTGAAAAAGCTTTTTCAGAAGAGGAGGTATGGGGATACAGAAGACAGACTTTTAATGAAAAAAGAGGTGTCCAGGAAATCCCACTGGTGCCCTGCTGGCCACTCTGTCCACACTCATCAGGACTCTATTGCTACGTCTACACTGGCCCCTTTTCCGGAAGGGGCATGTTAATTTCACGAGTCGTAATAGGGAAATCCGCGGGGGATTTAAATATCCCCCGTGGCATTTAAATAAAAATGTCCGCCGATTTTTTCTGGCTTTTATTCAAAGGAATAAGTAGGAATAAGATCCTCCGGAAAAGGGCGCTTTTTCCGGAGGATCGGGGCCAGTGTAGACGCTCTTTTCCGGCTTTTCTCAAAGCCGGCAAAAAGCAGCGGACATTTTTATTTAAATGCCGCGGGGGGCACTTAAATCCCCTGCGGCTTT